CATAAAATAAAAAGAAACTCAACCTGCAGCAAGAAGGCTGAAATAAAGAATCACGTTTGACAGGCTCATGTCAGACTTTTGTTTCTGGTCACTTAATTCACTGGCAGTTCTTAATACAGCAGATCTGGCTGACCACCATTGACGGTAAAAGAGCTTTAGAATAAATAATACATATCTGTTTTGACTCAACCGTATAGCAGACAGCATAGGCAGAGAGAAAAAAAATCTAACTTTGATTATTCGGCCTTCTCCTGGAACTTATTTTCCTGGAATTCGTTCCTATTTTTCTAGCATGCATTTCTACATTAGGGAAATGCACACTCTATTCGAAAGGAATGTAAAGCTCCCATCATTTTTCAAACCCGTTGTTCAAGAACAGGGTCCAGCGACCTTTGTGACACAAACAGTCACTTTTCTCCTCGGCTCTAGCTAATAACATTTGTCCCGCGTCACAGAAACTACCCAATCCTTCGCAAAAACGTGACCTATCAAGTTCTTCCCGTTGCAAATTGTTCCAAATTGTTTTATTTTCAGATTGCAGACAACATTTTCTGAATGACATATTCCACATTTGTTAAAAAATAAATAAATAAAAGGTTTGTGACCAAATGACAAGAAGAGAAAAAGAGATTCCTCTTCCTGTTGGTGTCACCATGTCGTGGGATTTTTATGAAACATATCTAATTCCAGATTATGTATCACTTTAAAAGTTATGATTATCTGAAAAAAAAAAAAAAAAAACTGACCATTTTGAATACTTGTGAGATCAAAGTCCAGTCCCTGAGAGCTATTGTCTTCCAGCTTCAAGATGCATTCGTCTCCATGGCTTGTTACCTATAAAGCTGAATGGCAGGTGATGAGGGAATTCGTTCCATTTAGTTCAGCGGTGTTGGAGAAGGAAAGCATTCAAAAGTAACAGGATGGCACGTCTCGAGGACTGGACTTGGAAACCCTGCTTAGGTTAGGCAATAGAGACAGAATCAGTTCCTGTTGTCAAAGCCTGCCTGACTGCGCTGCTGGTCTTTGGTTTGCTGCTTTTGATTCCTTCTGAGTCTTTGCTAAAGTAAAGAGCCATTTTTCTCTGTTGGTGTGAAACTGGATTGTATTTAATAATGTCTGGAAAATCTAATTCAAATTTGAAAATTCTTAGATCGGGTTGGTTCAGTCGAACCTGCGTCAGATTCTACGCTGATTACGTTTGTAGAATCTTTATTTATGAAAGCAATAAATAAATAAAGCAGTTTTCCTCACAATACATATCTCAAATTTATATCCATCCGTCCAACCGACCATCGGCCCATTTATCCTTGCTGGGTCACAGACTCAGATCAATTTATAATATTCTAATCAGTCTATCTGGATGCCATTTATGCAAAACCCACCTCTGACTTCATATTTGCTGTGTGCTCAGGTGGTTTCATACTGTGAATGAAAAAGTCATGAATTAAATTTGTTTCTAAATAGTGACAAATTGTCTTAGCGTTCCTCAGTAAAACACAGCTTGAGCTCCTCTTCTTCTTTTTTTTTTTTTTTCCCCCCCCCAAAACCAAACCAAGTCAGAATCAATGGGGGTGGTGGAAAGCTACTTGGATGTTAATCTGAGAGGTAATAGCTTTTCTCTGCAGAATTGTGAATCCTAATACGTGTCAATTTGTAAAAGGTTCGGACAGCCGTGTTCACCAAAGGCTGGCCACCGTCTCCAGGGGTCTCGCTCGCGTTGCCGCTCCGTGTCCGCTCGCAACAATAGCTGCCAACTGTAACACGGTGCTTTTAATTTGCAATAACACGTGACAATGGTAGATTAATGGCTCTTATGACACCTGTGTCCCTGAAGCTCTTCTAGCGGAGACCCAGTGTACATAACGTGTGTCACACTACATTATCTCTACATCCTTCCTGTAATGGGGTGGGGTGGGGGGGGGGCCTTTTTTAAGGGCACTGCTGACTTGGAAACTTAGGAGCTGTCTGCCTGCTTGGCAGAGAGCCACAGTCACGGCCTAAAACAAATACTGGGAGCTCCACAGTCAATCCATTTCACTGGAGCTTGTGTTGCTCTCCCCATCCCTGTCCCCTCTCTCTTTCCCTCCGTTTGTTTTTTTTTTTTTTGTTCGTGTTTCCATCCTTTGATAATGACTGCTTGTGCCATAATAATCATGAGGCTTACCAACTTAAATAGGGCTCAGGGAAGCTACTGCACTGTGAGGAAATTTAATCCAAGCATTAACTCAGTATAGACTACAGCCTACTGAGCGAGGCAAAAAATATGTCTAAATAGCAAACAAACCATCACGAAAAATAAAATCAACAAGCAAGCACAGCAATAAAACTAAAGGCATTTTTTTTTTCTCATAACAGTGAGTTTCGGGAATTCCCAAATGCAGCTGCTTTTTTTTTTTTTTTTTGCGGGATGTAGTCACATGCAATAAATTACAAAATCCGTTCGGATTAGGCTTGTTTTGAAAACAACCTGTCAGCAGGCAGGATTTCTATTAATATCTGGTAATATGCTGATCATAAATGTCATGTTTTCATTAGCTGCAGGCAGAAAATCATCAGAAATAAAAGCTTGAAAACATTAGTCTATGTGCGATATATAATGCATTTTACTTAGTGAACTGAGTTCTAAAAATACATGAACATTTCTGGCATTCTAATTTATTGAATGTAACTATTTTCATCGTAGAAGAATCGGGGCACCATAAACAGGTAGATGATACTTTAAGTTTAACAGCTGCCTTTTGGGATGCTGTGCTTCTTAAATAACATGGAAAATATTTGACTTAAAACATAGAAACTTTGTAGATTGTGACCTACAGAGACTAAAAAAATGAACCAGCCAGATCAACCATCTTGATTAAAGAAATATAAATCCTAAAAGACTGTAAAAACTGTAAAATAAATAAATAAATGTAAATCATAATACTGAAAATAAGGATGGAAATTTGTGCAGAATGCATTGTATCAGTAATATTACTGCCAGATTGTAATAAACAGTGTAAGAGGACAACTTTAATCAGACTTCATATTTACTCTCATTTCAATTAGTAAGTTGGTAATGTTTAAAAGAAACTTAAAATGACATTGGCTCAACATGATTAAGCTTGAAGTTATATAGAAACATAATTATCCTGTCAGATAAATAAATTTAGGAACTTGATAGTTGGAAATTGCCTAAAATAGCTCCTGCAAATAATTACATTCATTGTTTAAGCTGAGTTGCTGCATTTTGAAGAGCGAATGTATGCTACTGTTGATTCCCACCGGTACATGAACGCAAACAATAAAAAATATTAAACAACCTTTACAAGAGAAATCACTCAAGAAATGACTGTTTATCACAGCAAAAATCCTAAACATGCTGTCACCTCCCTAAAAGAAATATTTCAATTTTGCATTATTATTATTATTATTTATTATTATTTCTTTTTGGTGAGGTGCTCTTTAAGAGAAAAGAGCAACAGGACGATTGTGTCTACAGGGTAGCACCTTGTGTAATATACTATTCCTACAAACTGTGGCCCAAGGCAAGACATTCCTTTTGCAAACGCGTGTGTATGCGTGTGTGTACGTTTGTGTGTTTGGCCAAGATCTGAAGTTTATGCTGGGGAGAGATAAAGTATCTGTGAACCCTGTGGTTTCAGGTAGACACCAGGCCAGGCACTGAGGGAGTACATATATATATATATAAAACCCAAAACTCCCTCACCACTCTCAGAGCGAGTCCTGCCCTGACACAAACACAGACCCTTCCACACACCCACCGCACAGCTCTCTTCTCTTTCATCGTAACGCTGGCCGAGCACCTAAATCATGGAGATGGCAACACATCAGGGGAATCATTTGAGGCTGAATAGCTGCAGAAACATGGCGCTGTCAGCTGGAAGACCTCCGTAAAAAAAAAAAAAAAAAAAAAGCCTGCCTTTCTCCCCTCAAACACGCTGCTTATTCCCCTGCATGCCCTTTAATACCTCTATGCCCTTCAGTAGCAATCTGCATAGAAATGCCCGCATTTTATCATTCGGTGACTAGACATTACACCCCGGCTAATACGAGAGGGTCCTCGAACGACTGAAAATGAACCTCCAGAAAACACCAGACGTTTGCATTATGCCCCCGCGATTGCATCTCTTACAGGGAAAAAGACTTGATTATGTCATTTGCCATGTCCACGTCATGCTGGTTTTTATATCTTTGCCAGGAAATCTACCTCTGACAGGTCATTAGTCATCCCTACCCTCCCCACACGCACATAAAACATCAATTCCACTCAATATCCCACAAACCTCTTCTTCCACCCCCCCGCTCCCCCCACACACACACACTCCGACAAACGCCAGAACAAAGAAAGACGCTATGTAAACTGCCGCCGAGCTCTGATTAGCTCTCATTCAGGAGAACTGCAGAAATAAGGCACTCATTCCCCACCCTGTTTGAGATAACTGCTCCGTACCCATGCATGCCTTCTAACTCGGCTGCATCTGTTTAGCCATTCTCATCAGCTTCTTATGTAGTGACATTAGGGAGGCCTATTGCTTACAGAACCAATAATCTATATCGCCTCAGCCCTCCTTATACCCACCAACCCAGCAGAAGAAATGAAGCTACTTTTGGTTGTTGGGAGGTGAGGGGATGGGGGAGGTTGAAAAGCTCTTCTCAGAGCTACAGCAGCTTTCTTGACTGACCTGGGTGGTTGGCTACATCATCTTGACATGTAATTATCTAAAGCCCTTTAATCACTTCCATAAAGATTAATTGCAGGAGACAACAGCGGAGGTCGTGTCTTCAAATCAAAAGACTCGTTGGCAGGTTGACACAGCGTTGTAACGGAGTCCAGACTCAGGTGTTTTATAGGGGTCACACTGGAAACTGAGGCAGGCTTTTAATGCAAGCTCAGCAAAGAGGAGTTTGTAGGGTAAAGCGATTCGAAATGCAAAACGTTCTGTCAGCCACTTTTTAGTAGGCATTATTTATTTACCGAGTCTTAAACGTGGCCCTCTTACCGTCGTCTCTTTTTCTCTTCTCTCCGTTGGATCGAGGAATACCCAAAATCCCGTTAATGGAGTAGGATCCCGCAGGGTCGTTGGAGGCGCTGGTTACGGGTGGGGAAGCTGTGTTTGGTACTGTGGGAAAGGAAAGAAAGAAAATTCACTGACTGACTTCTTATTTTGAACGTTTAAATGTAAACAAATGCAACAACCGAGATGAAGCCGTCACATTTATTCACTCAATTTACACGACTGAAAAAGGAGTGTGAACCTGCTCCTCTTTAGCGCAGGTTACCGAGTTTACCAATCAATTTCTGTCAATATCGACCAATATGCATAGCTTAATGCAGGTCCACAAACGCACTCATTAGGCAGCATAACAAACTAAGACACTAATTGCATTGAGCTATGTGTTTAAATTGAACGTGTCTCTTAAATTATAACACTTTCTCTGTAAGAGAACACTTTAATCCTCACAGTAAACATAACCTCGGTGCTCTAATTTGGTTCTTTTGTTACTATTAATAAAGTAATGAACTTTTATAAGTCTTTTTCCCACAGCTCCACTAAGTGACTGTTACACCAAAAGAACAGATTTCTGGTTTATAGTGTGCTTAGCTTTTTCAGACAGGTGGTTAATATGAGGTTTCCAGCAAATTTTACAACCTTTTTTTTGTCAAAGCTCCCGGGAATTTGATCTCATGTAATTTGCAGTGAAAATTTACTGCAAATTTGTGAAATTTGCAGTGAATTTGTGAAACTCACTGCAAATTTCACAGTGCAGTGAATTTTGCTTTGATTTAAGCTTCGGTGACTAAATACGTCGGTTAAACCATCTGTTTTATTCTTATGAATTTGAAGTTGCTGTACATTTTCACCCACCCATCAGCGAATATGACAAATTACATTTTGACATTTGAAATACTTTTCTGATTCATACATACACATAATTTCCATCCCTACACAGACCCCTGCGGTACACCGCACACTCAGAATTAAACACATTGATCTTCAAATTGTTTCCAGTTACTGAAGTAGTTTTGTGTTCAGCTCAAAGCTAACCCTGTTGTCCTGTAACTTTTCAATTTATAAACCACTTTCAAAACCGATACAAGAAATAAAAGTCAGAAAAGTTTACATGAAAAGAACATACCGTTTACTATGACTTTTCTATCAAATATGAAGATGTATAGATTGTTTTGTTGTTGTATGGCTGCTTGAACTTGTTCTTAATAACAACTTTTCTTTAAAATATTTTATTACATTTAAGGTGTCACCTTAAACTTCCTCCAGAGGATAGAAGACAAGTATCTGGTTTGATAGAGCAGGTTTTCTGAAAAGTAAGATTAAAAGTACCTCTTTAATCTCCTAGTTAAAGAGGTAGAGCGTTTAGAAATACTAAGTTTCGTTTTTTTTTTATATATTAAAAATTATTCTGACTGTAAATGTAGTTTTTTCCTGGAGTTTTTACATTTTCCAAATTTACACTGACGGTAAAAGAGTAGCTTTTTCAGAACTGAAGCAGGCAAATGGGCCTTTAGTTTTAGAAATGTTCCCGGGTTTGAAAACGGAAATTGTTTTCCATCTTTCAGTTAATCGTGGAATGTACCGATTTCAAATGTGAAGTTGAAGATGTAAGTTAATGTTTTAAAAATGATCTCCATCACTCATTTTACAATTTTCACCAAAAAAAATGGATGAAAATGAATGTGCAGGTTCTAAGATGGCATTTCTTTACCTATTGTATGACCGGGCGTTGAAAGCGATGATCCATCAGGAGATGGATGGAAAGGCTGCTGGACCTTTGTTCTGATGATCCTGGAGAAAAAAAGAAAAGAGGAGGAGATGTAACCAGTGGCTCTCAGTCAACCTGTATCCAGTGAAACTTTATTTTTTTTTTACAAAAAACTTTTTATGCAGACAAGTATAAAAGTGCTTTACCAAAGCTAAACACAGACAGACATAAAAACATCCTAGAAACAATCAAACTAAGGAGACAAACAATTAAAAAGTGATATATAATTTTCGAGGATAAGGAAGTGAGGAAATGCAGTCAAGTCATTAAGTAAAGAAACGCAAAAATTTCAAAGCCAAGGCAGACATTCTTTTCCTTGTTGGGGTCACATCACGATGGTAAGGACAGTTGCCGATCCCACTGTCTACTTTTGCAAGGACGCATATGCATACAAATCTTTATGCTCTAATTTTTCTTCAGTAATTCACCTTTACACTGACGCCGTTAGCAAAAGGAGTTTTCCTTTCAACCGTCACCACATGCATGCTCATTATGCAGGATTGCTGAAAAGCTGATGCAGTCAACTGTCCACTGTCACTACACACTTGCTCAGGAGGAGGTATTACTGCAAAGTCAGCGCCTCAATTGACTGCGTTTGCTTGGTTCGAAAATGTTTTTACCAACGGGCAAAATAACTTGGCTGCGGTGTTTTACAACTGGGATCAAATGACAATGTAATCGACTCTTTCTTAGATGCAAATAGCTGTATGTCACTGTATGTAAAATGTATCTATTTATTTTGGAGAGCACCTCAAGGTGATATTTGTTCCATTAACTGATGGTGGCAGATCAGCTCCTGGTGATTGTTAAAATCTTTAATAAAGCATCAAGTTTATGCAGAAATATCTGAAACTGCAAACGTAGCTGAACAGATCTGTCTTCTGTCTTCGTTTTCCTACAGGCCGGGGGAAAATTCACCTCAAGCAGTTTTGTTGCTCTAAGGATCAACAGGAGCCCTAAGCCCTCCAGAACCAGACCCGCAGGACATGAAGCAGGTCACCAACATTAAGACAACTTCCTGAGTTTTTCCTCCTCTAATTTGAGCATCATGACAGCCACCACAAATATATTTTCTGACTAAAATATCAAATCAAACTCATTCACAAACATGGATGTGGTCAGTGGTTTCGTCATAAAAGCTGAAAAGAAAAAAAAAAAACTCTCTATTGTACTTTTTGGTCTGGGTGATCTTGCAAACAAAGCATGAAATCACATCAATTCACCTCAATGATCAGCTTCACTGGCTCTACCTGGCCCACACTAATCAGCAGCCGCCACCTCCAATCCCCCTCCCCCCCCCCACCCCCTCTAAGGCCCCCCGCCGCCCTGACCCACCCAGGTTGGAAGGGGTTTCACAGTTACCGATCAAACTCAACCCATGGCCCCCCGTGTGCCAATGCGGATGAGGTTGTATTGATTGAGGCCAGTGTGAGGAAAAAGTTGGGGATTAGTCACACGGGCAAACAGATGCAAATAGAAAGCTATAAATTATATGTGACAGGAAAGCAATAGTTCCTTATTGCCTTGCACAAGCTTACGCCAGCATTAGATTCCTTTAATCTGAATGGCACTCGGGGAGAAAGGGAGCTGTCACAATAATTTGTAAACTTTAAAACTATTCATCACGGATGCCGTGGGAGCCCCTCACCAGAGGTCTGCTGAGAGATTTCTGTGATTTTACGCTTTTTGTCCTCTGTATTCGTGAAAGATTAAGAGTAAAATCTGAGTTATTTTGGATAGTGGTATTATTGCAGGAGCCTGGAGGTTTTCGAGAAATAAATTCGACGGTGTCACAAATGGGAAAAAAAAAAAAAAAAAACTCTCCCTTGGAGGCAAATACGCCTAAAACACACCTTCCCAGAAAGCATGTATTGATATTTTAATTTTTTTTTTCCCCACAACAGTTATTCGACCCCTTGACTTGTCTGCGCGACATAAATTAAAAAGATTTTATTCGGTATCCATGTTCTTCATATTGAATAAGCAATTTAGCAGAATGAATTAATGACCTGCTTGTTGCTGAAAATCCCCTGAAGAGATATTAAAATTGCTTTACTTCTGAATCAATAATATCGAGCACCATTGAAGACTTTTTCTTTTTTTTTGTTTGATTTTTTTTTTTCTTTCTTTCTCGCTTTATGTCAAGCAGTTGGTGTTGGTTTTGGTGGCTCTTTATAGCTACAACACTAACTCTGTTGTATTTAATAATGCATGCAGGAGAAAGGTGTTTAAATCTAGCATCCTCTTTTGTTAACGGTTCTGAGGTCAGACTGTCTGCCACTGGAATCCACTGAAGCACCCAACTGGAAAAGACTTTGGCTCCAGTGTTTTTTTTTTTTTTTTTTTTTTTTTTTTTTAACCCCCGAAAAAAAAAAAAAAAAAAAATCCCTTCCCTTTTTAATTTTTTTGCTTTTTTT